AAAATTCACTAACTAGGAGAATAAGAATATTGCTCATAAACTTTTTGGAGTACTTGCTAAGTGGGAATTTCACTAGATTTAGAGAACTAAATTGGTTGATGATCCTAACTTTATTATTGACATTGGAAGGGGTTAAGGAAGAATTTCGCTCTCGATAATCACCAACTGAATCTTAAACTCTAGGTATTTAGGATCATAATCAGAGGAGAAACTACTTTTGCTAGTGACCTCAAACCTTTAATTTAGGAATTCTACTTTGAAAAATTAAGATAGACATTTTTACATTAACATCAACATTTGAACATTCAAGCTAGGTTTGATTTTAGTAGGCTAGAACTTTTTTTTACTTTGTAATTTAGCTCGTTGCTAGTGGGATTGACACTCAAAACTCTTATCCGTATACTGCTTGTATGACACATTTATTTGTGTGATTCGCCAGTGCGTCACAACATTTGGTTAATATCACTAGCCTTATTGGCGGTTGCTTTTGAATGGTATGTATAGTAATGTCCGAGGATGCCAGTGTAAACCTTACAGTAGAGAAGCGCAAAAAAAAGGAGTTAGTGGTAAAAATCATGCATGGAAAGATTATTATGAACTATGATCCATAATGAGAAATACTGATGACTGGACGATGTTGTACAAATGTATGGGTTTGATATCATAACATTCTTGGAGCTATTAGATTGACCGGAAATTTTAAGGAATTGAGCTAGTTAAAATTCAAAGGTCACTCACAAAAAAAAAAGGTGAAAAAAACTTCAAATGCCAAGAAGAGTGAGGTGCACACCATATTCTCTTATAATTTTGATAAAGAAAAGTAATTGACTTTCGCTTAAAGTATGCACAAAGGAAACCAATAAGCCAAAAAAAAAAAAAAAAAAAAAAAAAAAACCGAACACGTAACAAAGTTGGAGCTCGATAGGAATGACAAGCTAAGATCCTTCCATAATGGCAATAAATTCCCAAACTAACAAGTGATAGTAGAAAATTTACACTACTTAAGAATAAGATGAAAAAAGAATACTCGAACATCTTAAGTCATCTCGATGGCGCAAAATATTTCCTTGCAAGTGTCTCCTAAGGCCTTTGACATAAGGCATGCAACAATGGTGCTAATAAGTAACATTCTCGGTAGAGGAAAAAAATTTATAATACTTCCAAATTTCTAAAATTTCTACCAAGTAAATACCACTACCCAACAATGTAATTGAAACTCCTAGTGAAAATTCATCTCACATGGAAAATAGATTAAATTATAACAGATCTTCCTTACAAGATAAAGAGGATTTTGTTGACATAAACCTTTGATCTTATGTAACAACATACATATAGTTGACACCACAAAAAAAGATTAATACTCTTCTAAGTGATTTAGAGCCTTAAATGGCATATAAAATATGTTGTTTAAAATTAGTAAGTAAAATTGAGGCATCTTATCAATCTTTTGTAGAGATAAAAAAAAATTATGAAGACCTTCATTTATTAGATTAATTTAAATCACAGTGGCGCAATACAAATAAATGATATCGTTACCTTCAGTAAAATAAGAAATTGTCAAATAATAAAAAAATATGAATATAATAATGAACACATATATCATCTCCGAATACCTTAAAAAAGCACAGGTCTTATCGCTTAGGAAAAGTCAAACATTCCTTGTAAGTTTCTTGATATATAAATGAGAAACTCAAGATAATAAATTTCTTAAGGTGGATTAAGCATAATTAATCTTTTTATTTATATAGTTAGACCAAGATTTGTTTAGAGTTGAGGTTGAAATGTAGAGTACCAATTAAATCTAAACCTAATAAGATACTTTTGATTAAAAATAAATTTAATAATGGAGGTTTAATCATGTTAATTATGCCATTGATTAATTAAGTTAATTACTTGATATATTGAGTCAGCTATAGTATCATATATTTGATTTATTAGGAACGTTTTCAAACAACATGGAATGCAACCATCTTTAGATACCATAGGCGAATTTTAAAGTCCTAAATATAATTTTCATTATGTTTTATAGGAAAATTAAAACACTAGATCCATGAATGTCTACCCACTACCATATTCAGTAACAAAAAGAACCATGGATCACAAGGCCTATCAATAAATAAATAAATGAACTACATGTTTTTCTAAGATCATACCAACCAAATGGAACAACATTAAATTAGTTTGCTATTCAAAATCATATACAATTTTCTCAAGAACTTTACCATCACTTTTTATGTAGTCATAACTAAACACCACCAAGGAAGCAAAAATCTACAATGCCTCAATTTCTTTGCAATATAGAACCTAGAAAGCTATCATAATAGACAACTAATAAATTAAGTTGTTCAAATCAAGTATTTGGTTTCACAAAGAAGATATTTGAAAATAATAATTTCCAAAATCTATAGTTAAATAAAAGAGTAAATAAAAAAGGTGAGAACCTCATAAGTCAATGTGCCGCCCGAGGAATCAGGTTGCCGAAGAGTTACATTTGAAATCACACCATTGGCTGAGAGGATACAAACAGCTCGAGGTCCTTGTTGAGAAAATGACATTATCTTCATTGTAACATCCTTAATCAATGATAAGAGAAGAAATATGCATAATTTCAGATGCTATAATTTACAAGAACAAATCTAATTGCAACATAAAAAAAAGTAATATTTCAACAAAGAATAATTGAAAGTGTTAAATTATATATATATATATAACTAACTTCGCAGATGCCAACCAAAAAGTCATGGCACACGACACGCAAATACACACACACACACAGATATATATATAGATATATATATATATATATTGAGAGAGAGAGAAAGATTATAGACATTTGCATGTTTCTTCAAGAAGCATCTCTATTGTCTATCCAAATAGATGTGATGTTATCATCTCCTCTATATGTAAAATCTAATCCATCAATTATTTTTCGCATGATTAAAATTATTGGCATCGAATATTGCAAAATTTTTTAAGTTCGTCTTATCTTCAATCGGTTGCAATAAAAGTTTCAGAAAAAATGGCTTCAAATGCATGATAAGATAATTACAGGCACAAAGTTAGAGACTTTTAAATCGCTCATAATAAAATAAATGAGTTCTTGCTGATAATTCAAGTTTAATAGATGGTTAGGAGAGTGCTTAAATGCATTGCTAAACTTAAATTTCAAAAAAGATGTAGTATGATATTCCTTGCAATTTTCATTAGCTTAATGAATGATTAAATCAATGATATAATCTTGATTTTAAAAATTTTATCAAGTGGCAGATGTAAAACAATATTAGAAGGAATGATCCATCTCAATAATATTTGTATCCATAAATTCTTACACATATATAAAAAATCACTAATACACATAAACATATATGCATATTTCATGTATAATGTATGCTTAGCATGAATATAATTATAAAAATGAGCGCTACATGTGCAAGTGTATGAGTGGATATGGGTGATCATTTAAATATGTATGAAATCGATACATACATAGACAGGTGCAATATAATTTAATTATCCATGAATATTTTTTTAGTCAACTTCAAATTGAATTGAATTAATTGAGTCAAAGAAAAATGACATTGATTAAAATGACAATGATTTAAAGTTGTTTTAAGGTGGTTATGAGGACATAATCAATGCGGTCCTAAATCCTAATCATGATGGTGAAATAACATAACAACCATTAACTTAAAAATCTATATTATTAAGAAGAAGAACTTAATTTCCCTTAAAAAATTATTTTAATACACTCATAGTCAATTTTTTCTTACTTAAGCTCGTGCTATTCTCGCCGCAAAACCCTCTTCAGCTAAACAATCTATTAATGATCATCTCATACATGTCGATATGTGCATTTGCTAGCACTATTCTTATTCATTTCAGGCACAAAATATGATGAATATCTATAATAAAAGGGGAATCTCTATGTCAAGAATCAAGAGTGTTGGAATGAAGTGATAACAAAATAGAGAAATCAAGATATTTTACCCAACCAATTAATTTATTGAACAATGAGACATTATTAATGGGAGACATATTTATTCTTTTAGATTTATATTTTCTCATTAGTTGACTAAAATATCTTGATTTCTCTATTTGGTTATCACTTCATTCTATCACTCTTGATTTTAGATAAAGAGATTCCCCTTTTTTTTATATATATATTTATCATATTTTATAAACGAAATGAATAAGGATAGTGCAAGCAAATGCACATGTCGAAATATATTCTTTGCTATTAACTAAGGATTTCATTCGATAATGTTGAGGAAGGTGGAGACCCGGTCCACTTCCTATTACGGCAGATTCTTTGATAAATTGATTCTAATTTATCTGCTCTTAATTCTTTTCTTTATGTATTTTATTCTCTGTCATAGCTTGATGATTCCCAATTTTTATTTAAAGCAGTTGTCTTCTATTGACAGGAAGAATTAAGGAAAACTTAATTAATTAAGTTTTACCAGATTAATTTTCCGCCCCTCCTGTTATAGAGAAAAAAAAACAATGAATTTGATAACTTGCCTTAATGGGCTTTATATGGGTCATTAAAGCATGATTCCATGGATTCACGAAATTAAAGATTACCAAAACAAGCTGAATACTGTGAAGCTTTAAAAGGGGCCTCACGATTACAGGGATGTGCATTACTCTCCAAACAGTTTAAAGTTATATTTTCTTCTTCTTGGTGTGACTCTCGGTTTAGAGAGAGAGAGAAGGTGAGAGAGAGAGAGAGAGAGAATTCTTTCTTGTAAGTCGACGTGGTCGACGGTGTAATCCTCAAAGCTAATAAAATCCTCTGCAGCTCCGTGGACGTAGGGAAGTTGTCGAACCATGTAAATCTTGTGTCGTCTTTTTCTGGTGTAATTTTCTCGATATATTTTTCGTTTTATTGTCGTCGTTTTTTTCATAACAACTGGTATCAGAGATTTGGTTCGAGGCGGAATGGAATCTGTTGGATCGACAGGTTCTGGGGGTTATTCGATTAACCCTGTCAAGATCCGTTGCCCATAACGTCATCAAGGAGAGGACTACTGCAGATCTCATGGCAGCTTTATCAGACATGTATGAAAAGCCATCAGCGAATAACAAGGTGCACCTAATGAAAAAGTTATTCAACCTGAAGATGGCGGAAGGTGTGTCTGTTGCTCAACACCTGAATAAGTTCAATAATATCACTAATCAATTGTCATCTATTGAAATTGATTTTGATGATGAGATTCGTGCGCTGATATTGTTGGCTTCATTGCCAAATAACTGGGAAGCCATGAGGATGACAATTAGCAGTTCTGCAGGTAAATCTAAATTGAAATATGATGATATACGTGATTTGATTTTGGCTGAGGAGGTGCGCAGGAAAGATTCTGGCAAGACCTCGGATTCGAGTTCGACACTGATTGTTGATTCTAGA